AAACAAAAACTGAAGTTTACAGTGTGTACGTAGAAGGATGCAAGTATCGACAGTTTTTATTCCCATCCTGGCGTTGCCTCTCGTCGTTTTCTTTCTTTAATGTTTGATGCATTTGCACAAAATTAGCTAACGAGCTTAAAAAAAAAAAACCCCAACCCCAACCCTGATCAGTGTAACAATGCCTTATATTCAGCAGAACTACTGAATGCACGTTTGTTACCATGTGGAGCATCACCTGGTCTGCGGAGGACCAGTGTGGTTTCAGCTGCTGCTGCAAACTGTGAGGTGTTTCCTTTGATCTGCAGGTGTGAAAACCTTGAATTATCAAAGGCGATACGGCCGTTGACTTTGAACGAGAAATGGACAAAAACAAGTCCCTGGGTTTGGAGTCACTGAGGAACTATTTGTTTACAGTTTCTAATTTGACCTTGGCAGCAATTAGTCAAATTAGGTTCCTCTGGTTAGAGTATGATGTAATGTCACTGAGAGAAACCGTCATTAGAAAAGTTAAACCCGTTGTGCAGACTTGCAATAGATGTTCAAGTTAGGGAGTTTATGGTCCAAGTCCAAGTCACTAAGAACAAGTCGAGTTATGATCTGAATTCAGTAACATGAAAGTCTGTGTCAGTCAAGTCCTTTAGGTTTTGAATCCAAGTCACTTGGACTTAGACTTTCTTTATTGTCATTGCACAAAAACACAAGAAAACAGTGAGTCTGGCAATGAAATGTTGTTGCTTGGCAACCGGAGTACACAGTACAAAGTATACAGCTTGTAGGCCACGAGTAATTACTTGAAGTATGTCTATATACATATGTATATAGGTAGTGAGTCAAGTCAAACCAAAGTTAAGTCTTCATAGTATAATTATAGATACAGTATGAGTCAGTCATTAAGAATATTCGGTTGAAGACACAGATCAAGTCTGATTCTAGACCCAACAACTCTTTGTGCACATAAAGGGTTTGTCTGAAAGAGAGTCAATGTTGGGATTCAAGAGGAGTCACAGTCGGGGACTCGAGCATGACAACAATGACAGTGACTTTTTAAATTATAATCTAATGAGCCTGATCCTTGTGGTGTGATGTTTTAAAGTGATTATTGACTTGACGGAAAATTACATTACAAATCTAGAACATCTAGAAATAGGTTTGACAGCAGCTGAAAACACACTGGTCACATGACCAGCTGTGACTCTTGCTATTGTTCACCTCTGTCTGGTTTCACTCCGTCAAATCCTTAAAAGATGAAAAACAACTTAAGTGCATACTTGTTTATGTGGGTGAAAAGTACTTGATTTAATGTCTAGTATGTAAATAATAATAATAATAATAATAATAATAATGACATTTGGCATTGGTTTGTTTTATACTGGGTGTCTCACTCTTGGCCTTTTTTTGTGGGTCGTGGCGCTGCATGAAGGAAGACGACAGCAACACTGCAAATTTAGCTTTGACTTCCCTCCAGTCGTAGGACTTATTTTATATCATTTTGTGGCTTTTTATTTCACTTCAGGTGACAAGACTCTTTGCCTTTGAAAAGTTAGGCTTCATTTGGAACCAAAACTGTCAGCGCTCTATAAAAGTCCAAGTTATCTCAACAATATTCTACAAAAACCTGCAGAAGCAGAACGTTACCTCCGTTTCCTACGTACAGTTCATGATCCCATGTCTGTGGAGGTGGACAGCAGTGGCAGATGGATTTGAAATGTTGACGCTGACAGAATCCTCACACTCCATATTGAACGAACCATTTCCACGCAGACACAAATGTTAAAGAAACCTTTTTCATTTAACAAAATATTTTATGCTAGCCTTAAATTGAACATGACCACGTGTATTTCTTCCTTTTTTGC